GTAACTATTTTACATTACCCATTATTCCCCATCAGATGTTTACATGATCATAAGTATGCGTAGATACATAATATTGTTCATATAATATATGAAATACGGCTTGTGCAGGTTTGACTGTAACTATTTTACATTACCCATTATTCCCCATCAGATGTTTACATGAACATAAGTATGCGTAGATACATAATATTGTTCATATAATATATGAAATACGGCTTGTGCAGGTTTGACTGTAACTATTTTACATTACCCATTATTCCCCATCAGATGTTTACATGATCATAAGTATGCGTAGATACATAATATTGTTCATATAATATATGAAATACGGCTTGTGCAGGTTTGACTGTAACTATTTTACATTACCCATTATTCCCCATCAGATGTTTACATGAACATAAGTATGCGTAGATACATAATATTGTTCATATAATATATGAAATACGGCTTGTGCAGGTTTGACATGCCAGGCGTAAGGCGTAAGTCATTCTAAGAATGATATACTGAACGTATACAGCTGTGTCCACATGTATTACGAGAAGAGACATATATCAATTACCACGAACGGATCAGATGTCCACAAATACCTGTCCCTAACAAAACAATTCGCTGTGCATTGCAACCTAAAATAGATTCAGATCACCGTGACACGGCCGCACATAAAACATACAGTAACCTAAACGTTGGACGATTTGTATGTAGGTTGGGTTGAGCTAAAATAGCGATGTCGGAGTACAGTGGACTCTGTATAATCCGACACTCACTGGAACCGGGGGAAAATGTCGGATTATACAGAGTGTCGGATAATTCTCCTTGCTTAAATACTTTTCAAACAGTACCATACATTGTAACCTGTTTATAACATGAAATTAATGCTTAATAGCTTATTTTCTTGGTTAAAAAAGGGAAAACAATTCTGTATTTACATGTAGATGTATATCATTGGATTTATTATCTTCAGTACAATATACATCTATCCTAATGTGTAACATAATTATGATGAAATGGATGTTATATGCGTCAAGATTAAATTGGAGTGAGTGAGTTAAGATTCATAGTCACATCGGCAATATTTCAGCCATATCGTGACTTAAAAAGTTATAAAAAAATGATAAATGGAATTAAATTACAAAAACTATTGCATTTTAACTATAGAGGACAACGCAACATAAAAGCAGGCTATTGATTGACAGCAACTGAAGGTAGATCACCATACTAGGGACGATGGGGATCTACAGTACATTTGCTTCCTGCATGGATCCTAGCTGGATTTACACTATCCCTTCAGCTGTTAACAATTTAGAAAAATCTAGCCATACATTAAAAGTACACATATCCTGCGATTAAGAAGAGTGTATAGATTAAATTAACTTTTAATGTTTTGGGACTTGCGTACCCTCTCAGGAGGACAGATTAAATTGGAAATGTATGGTACATATGTACAACCTCATAATACTCACCTGTGTCTTCCTAGGTAAGTCGAATACAGCAAAACACAACCAGGAAGACAATTGTGGGGAGGTGATCAAATGTCCTCAGCAAGTAGTGTTACTTTGTCTTAAAATGGATATTACATCAAGGATTGTAGGTTACCTCGTGTATTGTATTAAGCTTTCTATGTGTCTCTGTCGGATTAGGGCAGTGGGGTAGCCTAGTGATTAAAGCGTTCCGGGTTCGATTCCCCACATGGGTACAATGTGTGAAGCCCACTTCTGGTGTCCTCCGCCGTGATATTGCTGGAATTTTGCTAAAACTATACTCCGTCAGTCAGTATGTCGGATTAAGCATTACAATGTTATTTTGAACATTAGGTCCAACGTATGTCAAAATACACATACTGTTTTATCCTCCAAGGCTTGAAACTATATAGAGATTGACTGGGTTTATGTCTTGTCACAAATCTGTCCATTCAAGTCTACATTTCTCATAATTGTGAGTTTATCGAGGATCTGATCATTTGTTGTCGGAGCGGGAGACGATTGAGATTAGCCTGTATGGACCTGTGCCTAAATAATGTTTTTTGATGACTGTTCGGACATTAAGTGTTGAGACTACATACAGACAGACAGACATTTTATTCAGTAATAGGCCACTGGCCCAAAATACATTCATAAATATAATAAGAAGTTACATGCGTTTTACCAGGGAGACTATATAATGTTGTAGATTATCCCTGGTTTTACATAAAAACATCAGAATCTCTTATTTTCCCAACATTATATAAAAATAGGCACAAAGTATTTATAACATTTATGTTTTTTGAAGTCATTATGTTTATAAAACTGTGTTGTGAAATAGGATGTTTCAAATATCTACCCAGAAACTTATTCCTTATATCTAAGTAGGCTTTACAATAAAGTAAAACATGTATTTCATCTTCAATTAAATTAAGATTGTTTTTGTAGCAAAAAAGGACAGAATCTTGAATAATAAGGGACATTGTTATATCTACCGGTCTCAGAACTAAGTTTAAATTTACCGCATCTAAATTTTGTTAAACAATTTCTTAAATATGGGGCAATACCTAAACTGAGATAAGTTTCAACATTCAGGAGGGACTTGAAAAGAATATAATTAGAACACTTGGTTGTACTATGTAGGGATGAGTACCAATCTTGTGAAAGATTATCAGACAATCTTTGCTTAAAAACAGAAATGAAACCATCAATATCTCCAATATCCTGTGAAATCCAAACAAAGCCAAACCCAAATCTAAATAAAATATTCTTGATATGAGATGCCCATGTCGTCCGTCCAGATTCATCCAAAGACTTCAGCATTAAATAAAACTGATGAGGTAATCTACAACCTGGAAAAGTTAAAAGTCTACACCAATATTTAACTGCCCTTGACATATAAGTAAGTTGAAGAGGGAATCTGCCACATTCACCAAGAACCATATTCTTGCATGTATTTTTACCAACTTTTAAGAAATATTTACATGTCATTATCTGGATTTGTTCAATGATTTTACAATGGGTAACACCCCAAATTTCTGAACCGTAACAAAGAATAGGTTTAACCATAGCATCAAATACTTTAAAAAGATCCGCACATGACAGATAACCTACTCTTTTTTTATATCTATAGATAGCCATAAGGGCTTTATTGGCTTGAGAAGCAAGTGTAACGAGAACTTTAGTCTAAACTAGCCTAGGAGTGAACACAATACCCAAGTACCTGTAGTATGAGACAACTTCCAGCCTTTGCCCATTAAGAAACCACTCTTCATACTGTCTAAGGGGCCCGCTATTCCTGAAAACCATAACTTTAGTCTTATTAATATTGACCTTCATACCGGTGAGTTGACAAAAAATTTCAAGCTCATGAATCTTCTTCTGAAGCTGGAGAGCAGTATCCGAGGAAACATCATCCTCAAACATTAGAGCATATAGATTATTAACATCATGGGTAATAAATATACCACGGCCACCAAAATGCTCCATACTTTCCATAAGCTGATTATTAAAGATAATAAACAATTGTGGACTGAGGATGCAACCCTGCCTAGTACCTATACTACAATCAAAATAACTTGAAAGACCTTGAGATGTTCTGACACAAGCTGACAACTTACCATACATTGATACAAGGATGTTATAGAATTTACCATCAACACCAACTTTTTTTAGACTTGACAGAAGAATTTTATGATTAACTGTATCAAAGGCCTTTGAGAAATCTATAAACAGACAATAGAACCTTCCTTTCTTCTTACATGAATGTTTCTGTACCATAGCTTGAAGTGAGAAAATGTGGTCAGTAGTAGCATAATTAGTCCTGAATCCTACCTGAGCTTCATGAATAATATTCTTCTCCTCACACCAAACCTGTAACCTACTGTTGAGAATGGAAGTGAATATTTTACACACAGAATCAATAAGAGAGATACCTCTATAATTATTGGGGTACTTTTTACACCAGATTTGGAAAAAGGACAGATAATGCGTTTACCCCAAAGCACCGGGAAAATACTGTCTTGGAAAATCTTGTTAAACAACACTGTAAAATAATTGCTGATAAAAGTCTTAGAAGCTTTAATAAAGTCAATTGCAATACCATCTGGTCCAGGAGACTTGTTTTTTGCCAGTTTATCAATGTGAAGTAAGACTTCGTTTTCAGTAATGTCACAATTTAATGTTTTTAGCTCTTCATCCTTTATGGACTCTGAATTGATATCACTGTCATACTCATTACCAGAATTCTCAGTTAGAAGCCCTGAGAAGTGACTGAACCAGTCTTCACAGCTTATATCGTACGTCCTGCTTGACTGTGTTGAATTCTCCATCATAAGGGATAAATATTTCAATGTTAAAACTGTTAAGGATCTTTATATTTCTGTTCATCTTCATTTAATTCTTGCTTTTTTAAAAGAAATTGATTTAATTAATGAATTTTGATAAATATGTTCTGTAGATAGATGTGTTTTAATGATTGGTAGTGTAGCTTATCAGCTTAGATTGTTCGTGACTGTATCCTCAAAGGGGGTTGAAGTATTGTAAAATTATTGTCCTCCTGAGAGGGTACGTAAGTCCCAAAAACTTTCAAAGTAAAATTTTCACGTCCTGTGTTTTTAAACGTAGTATCCTTGTCATTTTAATTTGTGGCTAAATTTTCCTACAATCGCCAACGGCTGAAGGGATGGTGTAAATCCAGCTAGGGTCCATGCAGGTAGCAAAAGTAATGTAAGTCCCCATGGTTCCTAGTATGGTGATCTACCTTCAGTTGTTGGCGATCTATAACCCGTTTTTACATTGTATTGTCTTCGTAAATAAAATAGTTTTACATGTTCATGCTAGTTTTAGACTCCATCTGTGATACTCTATTTATTTTACAGTCCTTCGATGACTGATTATTTAGCAACTTTAATTTTTTGTTTAAGTAAAACATTTCTCGTCACTATATGGCTGAAATATTGCCGAGGTGACGTTAAATTCTAACTCACTCACTCACTATATCGTACGAAGTGTCACATGTTCAGGTTGAACCTGATTGCTTTAATGTTTTCCAGAATTCCTTTGGGTTGTCTCTTGCTGCAGTAAGTTTCTCTTTTTGTACATCGAAGTATGCTCTTCGTTTGCTGTTAAAAGTCTTCTTGAAAGATTTACGTAGGTTTTTATAAATCACAATATCCAAGTTAGTGTCTCTATGATCTCTTAATGCTTTATATTTCATATGTTTTAATTGTTCGAGTTCTTGGTCTCATCATGGGGGTTGAGGTTTGGAGTTAATATCATGGTAACCTAAAAATATCTTCTTATTGTGGTCTGCAGCTCGCTGATACAGTTCAGTGAAAACATTTAATGAATCTTCAATATTGGTGTCTATACAGTGATATAATTTACTACGTAGATTTTCAAACAATTCTTGGAACTTAGAGATAAAAAGATCACAGAACTCTCCATTCGACACATATGAGACTACATACGCTCCAAAAAAACAAAAAAAGCCAAACAAGAAACACCAACAAAACATCCACACGATTCAAAGTAAATGTTGATGTGTCTTGCAAAAGCAAATACACACGTCTTGTTAATTTCGTGTGCATTAGGCCCTTCTTTGTAATTGACCCTATGTGCACAGTTGGCAACAATTCATTATGGAACATCTCTGAGAGTCTTTCCCCATAGTGCCTGTGTTTGTCCTCATTCCCTTGTCATCAGTATATTGCTTTATGAAGCAATTAGTGGTATCACCACCCACCCGCTGTGCATGTTCGGACAGTGACATTTGGTGTATATTGCAATCAGGATTCATTTGGACTTTTCCCCTTCTAGATATTAGAGCCAGTACGTCGACGGTTCTTGGTGTTATTAAATCATGCACGTCTCAATTGTCCCTGTGCATAATAAAATGGCTTAGTGCATGTTGTTTATAAAGGTAAAATGAAGAAGAACCTTTGTTTTCTTCTTTCAGGCGATTTACAAAACACTGCTTGACGAAGCCTAGAAATGAAGCTTTTGGATCTATATACACAGCATGACTTCTGGAATATGCTACTTTGGCAAGAATACCTTTACTGTCCTAAGTCTATTTTACTAGTATTTCAATGTTGTCTGGTGCATTGTGCCTGAAACAGGACTGTTTTGTCTTTTTAAGGAATATAGGTGACTTATTGCCATTAATATCCACTTTCTGTTGATTGAGCAAAATGGTTACTAATAGCTCCTCACAAATAACGAAAGAACAGGCGTAGGTTCCTGTGCCTTGAAAAAGGCAGCATCATTATGTGGATCCTTTAAGCTCCATCACTCTCAGGGCGTCAGTACGTCTCGTCTTTTTTTCTTCCTGTTCCCCGGAACTTAGCGGGCGCGACACATACAACATATTCCTCGTACGAAATACTCAGTTTACAGGGTCTTGTTTCAGATAATCCAAAGGAGTTTTTCCTTTGCTGTCTCTTCTATTAACATCTGCGTGCTGTTCCAATAAGAGCCTCAGGGTTTCTTCTGTTGCATCACCATTGCATAAACAGTGAAGCAGAGTTTGGCCTCTAACGCAGCGATCCCCTATGTCGTTTTTAAGACATGTGTTAACATCCTCAATCTTTCTGGTCCTAATCAAGCGCTCAAGACACTGGTAGTTGCCGTTAGCACAAAGGTAATGTAAGCCGTTCCTCCCATCTTCTTGATTCACATCCACATCTGCACCATATTCCAACAGCAGCTGTAAAATTCTCAAACTGTCATTGTGTGGAGGCACTATGCAGGAGTACATGAATGGTGTTAAATCAAACCAATGGGCTTTCTTATTTACAGTTTCAGGGGTAGCTTTGTCCAAAATTTTCTTGAGCCCTTCCAAACAACCACTTTCACACATCAGGTGAAGAGCTGTCATGCCATCACTGTCTGGAATATTAACAACAGCATTGTGACTGATCAACAATTTAACAAGTTCACCTTTATTCCTATAGTCTTTTCCTTTGCAGGCTTCGTGAATAGCACAGCTATTGAAAATAGGCTCGTTGATGTCAAATGGCATTGGGGATTTTAGTAACATGTTTACCCCTTTCAGATCTTTTAGGTGACAAAGATAGTGAACCAGCAGACGCTTATCCAGAGAATCATGTACCTCCTTTGTCAGATAGACCTTTTTGGCTGTCACCAAAAGTTCCTTTTCAAAAGTGTTCAATAATCTCATCTGCGAAACCTTCCTTTCCTTCTCGGCAAAGGTTTTGTATCAGCAATGGTAATATATCCAACGAATCGATGTTCGCTCCATGTTTAAGCAAAAACATTACCAACTCATCAGTAGGCCTTGACTCACATGCGTAGTATAAAGGTGTCCTATTCCAGATGTCCATTGCATCAATGTCGTGTACTTTATCTATGATGCATTTCGCACCATCCACAAATCTCTCTTTACAAATGTAATGTAACATGGTTTGGCCATGGACTTTGGCATTTACGTCAGCACCTTTTTCGACCAACACCTCTAAAGCAGGAAGATTTCCGGCCGCGACTGCATTGGCTTCAGCTGTACATCTTTTGTGTCAACAGCACAGCACTACAAAAGCAAAATGTGAAACAATCAGAAACCTATTCTAATGGAACTTAAATGCATACTTAAACAACGACAGAATTAAAGGTCCTTTTTAGATTTAATTATTTTAAAATGTTTAAGATTCAGTAAGCAATGTCTCTTCGCTGTATATTTGGTTGAAATTGTCATGTGTAGTTATGTCAGGAAATCTGGCGAAAACCACAATGATGTCAACAACAACCATCAATACCATATTAGTTGTGTACGATGTAATGTAGTATCATATGCGTAACATTGTAAATGAACTTAACTAAGCTGTAAAAATATCCACTTACAAGCTGTTTATCCATTAAATATCCCCTTTCATGTACGTAAACGTAGTCCCTGGAACTAACGTGCAGATACAATCAGCACTAATAAGGGAAGAACGACACTAACCTCAGAATTTAAAACATTGATCAGATTTTCTTTGTTATGAAGCAAATCATACTTCATAAAATCGTAGTCCCCTCTGCCAAATTCCTTTGCGATTTTGCTCAGAAGTTGATCCTTTAATTCGTCTGTAAGCTGGCTGAATAAGGCTCTACCTGTAGCTGTACTTGCATCCATATACTTTTTAATACATGGCATGCTACATCGTGTTATTAAAAACCTCGGGTCCTCTATTCCAATGGTAATCCCAACACTTTCTTGATAAGAGGAGTGAGCAAAGTGAAAACATCCACCTTCCTGTCGAAGGTAGAAGATATCATTTGTAGCTGCTATCAGTGTTTGTCGTTTTTCATCGTCAGCTTCCTTGTCAGGTTGAAATGTTTCGTCACATATCATTATCTGTAAGACTTCACGATTGTGTTTGTTTTTCTTCAGTAACCATTTTGTCTCCTTATCAAGGAACTCGAGAGGGCGGTCAAAAATTCCCCTGATGTTCACTTTCACTTTATCTGCATACATTCTGCAACATTGTGGGAATCCATATGTAAAAGTAGATGAACATACGAAGTGGATGTCGCCTTCATTTTCGTGCATGTCATTCCTGTCCAGATGAATTTCCAAAACCTTTCTCTTTTCACTTTCTGTAAGGCGGTGTGTGGTTGTTAGATCTATCAAAATCTCTCTGTCATCAAATACGTTTGCATATCTGCCAAGTTTAGTTTTAAGGTGTGCGAGTATGGTTTTGCGGAGAATTATTAGAATGATATTTGTTCCGCTATGGGAACCTTTGTGTTCGGGTAAAGCAAGAACATCAATAATGGTATCTTCCCAATCACTGTACTTCTTGTCTTCAAATGCAATGCTACCAAATGTATCATCAAACATCAGCAGATCACAATTTTTCCTTTGTTTGTAATTCTCTGGACTAGTCACAAGGCAAAACGTCTTTCCCTTTTGATTCATTTCTCGCAGTATGAGGAATCCAAAAGTAGTTTTTCCTTCACCCGGCTCGCCTGTGATCACAAATAGTTTCTGTCCATTTTCAATAGCCTTGACAATCCAGACAAATGTTTCTGTTTCTACCATGCCTTCAGTCAAGTCGTTAATAGGCTGAAGATCTGCATCTGTTGGTATATAATTCAACGTTATAGGAATAACATTTAATGGAAGAAGCTCGGCATGACCATTGCAGTATGAAATTGTAGAACAGAGGAAAATCACGTATTTTCTTAAAAGTAGTGAGTGAGTGAGTTTAGTTTTACGCCGCACTCACCATTATTCAAGCTGTATGGCGGCGGTCTGTAAATAATCGAGTCTGGAACAGACAATCCAGTGATCAACAGAATGAGCATCGAACTGCGCACTTGGTGAGGTGAGGTGAAATTGGGTTTAACGTCGTGCTTGAGAATATTTCGCTCATATGACGACGTGCATGCGTGTGTGTGTGTATGTGGAGCTGCTTGTACTCGCCCAGACTGAAGCTGGTTTTATAGTGCTAGCCCACTGAGATACCATGCCGCAGTGAAGCAGGAATACCCCCACTCAGACACATTATACCGACTCCGAGCCGACCAGTCCTTGTTGTACCAATTAATGCCGACCTTTCGCTCTCCGGGCAGACGCTCTAACCCTGCGCACTTGGGAACCGATGACATGTGTCAACCAAGTCAGCAAACCTGACCACCCGATCCCGTTAGTCGCCTCTTACGACAAGCATGGGTTACTGAAGATCAGCATTCTAGCCCGGAACTTCACGGGTATTTCTTAAAAGTGTGTGGACATACTACCAATGGGACTGAAACCACGAGATAGGAAGAAACGTTCCTGCTAAGACGGGGACCATGGTTTCTGTATAACTGGTATAAATGTACTCACAAGAAAAATCAAGGGACACACTACATCTCTCACACTCTGAATATATGACACTTCCATGTATTATGATATAATATAGGAGTCGTTATAATAGCAACAAAGACAACAATGGTAATATTCTCCACTCAGCAACAGTAATCCAACTTGCAAATAAGCTAAGGTAAGTAAAGTTCCTAACTTCATACTCAATGCTGGTCTTCTAGTAACTTGAGGTGTAATGTTAGATTCCAGGCAATAGCTGGCTACCCTTCTATTTATACGAAATGGCATTCAAATAATACTAAAATGCCATGAAATGAGATCAGCACAATTTCAGATTAGTATATGTTAAATATTTCATGCGATGTATCAGCAGGTGAGGTGCGTTTGGCAACTTAAAGTTACAAGGATGGACAAAACTGTCATCGCCTTAAAGTTACTATTTACTGGACAAAACTGTCATCGCCATTTCTTACAGACAATTTTTTTTTCAGGATTGGAGAGCGTGAGGGGATCGTGGCTGTCATCTGTTTACATTTTGTAATGGTTGAGTGGTCAGCGGTTATGAACCTTGACGGTTGTCTGTAAATGATCGAGTCAACAGAGCAAGTTACTGAAATCATTAGCATTGGCCCATGCAGCTGGGAAACGATGACATGCAACAACCTGTCAACGAGCCTGACCACTCGATCCCGTCAGTCTCACGAGAAGCTAAGAAACGTCAATAACACGTGACAGTATGTGTCATATATAATAAACGCTATTCCAAATACAGTACGTTAAACCTCGGATTGCAGCTCGTGGACGCCATTTTACACAGACTCCCGATTAAATCACGCCTCTAATGACATAATGTCATATTATTAACCTCTCATGGCATAATGTCATAACATTAGAAATAAGTGTCAATATGTAGAATCTGTGCTAAACTGTAGTACAACTCACTTGGTAAACAGAGATTATTACACGAGCAAGTGCGTCATACGACATAATTTTGCACGAGTTTCGTATACGTCGTATGAGGCACTTGCTCTAGTGTAATAAAATCTTTATTATCGAGTTTATACATGTAAATGTGTATAGAAAAACACGGTAAGCAAGGGTGATAGCCCTCTTCATCTACGTTACGTTCAATTGTTTAATGACGTCACAGACGACGAAACAATGGTTGCTAGGCAAAAGTGATATGTACACATGTGATATATATGACACCAGTTATGTTTCAACATAATGGATCATAAACAAGTACATTAATACAAATATTGTTACCTGTAGGAACAATAGCTGATGTGAAATTCACGGTTCCAAGGTTTGCACCCATGACCACAGAATGATCAATGTTGGCATCGTCTCCCTTCACACCAGTCAGCACAGTGTCTGCAACACATAACCGGCTGTGTTTAAGGACGGAGCTTACTGTCATCCTAAACCTTTTTCCATCAATGAGATGGAAACTGAACTACCGGACAAAGGAAAGTTGTCACCAAATTCACTTGTCCAAAAAGTATAAACAAATACGTAAGTGAGATTTTTGATAATTATTTTACACACAGAAACCCTTTTCCAATACATTAACTGAAACTTCATTGTAATGCTGGTCTTGCATTTGCTGCAATTCTTTAAGAAAGTGTCAAGGGGTCAAAATTAATAATTACACAAATCAGAATTCATTCAAAAACTACATAAAGAGTCACATAATGAGACAGGTGAGTGAGTGAAATTGGGTTTAACGTCGTACTTGAGAATATTTCGCTCATATGACGACGTGCATGCGTGTGTATGTGTATGTGCGGCGGCTTGTACTAGCCCAGACTGAAGCTGGTTTTATAGTGCTATCCCACTGAGATACCATGGCGCAGTGAAGCATCAATATCCCACTCAGACATATTATACTGACTCCATTGTTGTACCGATTAATGTTGAGCGCCAAGCAGGGACCAACAAGTACCATATTTTAACGTCTTTTGGTATGACGCGATCGGGAATCGAACCCGCGACCTTCCGCTCTCCGGGCAGACGCTCTAACCACTACACCACGGAGGCGGTTCCATAATGAGACAGGGGTCAGGGGACATGTCACCAATAGCGTGTACTACCACCCTTAACATCTATACACGCCAACACACGTCTCCTCATTGACATCGTCAATCGGCTGATAACGTCAGCAGGAATCCTGTTCCATAAGCCAAAAAGAGTCTGTTCAAGTTTCTGTGGGTTCGCTCAAGATGATACACACTGTCTCAGCTGTCTATCAAGATGGTACACACTGTCTCAGCTGACGATCAAGATGGTACACGCTGTCTCAGCTGACTATCAAGATGGTACACACTGTCTCAGCTGACGATCAAGATGGTACACACTGTCTCAGCTGACTATCAAGATGGTACACACTGTCTCAGCTGACTATCAAGATGGTACACACTGTCTCAGCTGACGATCAAGATGGTACACGCTGTCTCAGCTGACGATCAAGATGGTACACACTGTCTCAGCTGACGATCAAGATGGTACACACTGTCTCAGCTGACGATCAAGATGGTACACGCTGTCTCAGCTGACGATCAAGATGGTACACACTGTCTCAGCTGACGATCAAGATGGTACACACTGTCTCAGCTGACGATCAAGATGGTACACACTGTCTCAGCTGACGATCAAGATCACCCCGGAGATGTTCAATGAGGTTCATATGTCTAGAGAAAGCACTGGCCAAGGCAATACGTTGACGTTAATGTTGTGCACGTAATCTCGAACGATTCTGGTGGTGTGGGGCATTGCGTTGTCGTGCTGCAAAATGACTCCTCATGGCTGTTGTCGAATTAAGGGCACCAAAAAGGTCTCAACGCTTTTTGGCGAATGTTTTGGCGAATGTTTCCTGCTTGGGTTCAAACCTATACCAGCATTTGTGTTTTTATACAATTATTTTATTAGTGATAACTTTATTTATTTATAGTTTATGTACAATAAAATTAATTGAATATATGATTTAAATTATCAATCCTTCAAATTTGAAATTATGCCATCTATTCAAATTGCTCTAATCATTTGTTTTGCATTTGGCCACGATTCACACAGGGATCAAGATATTTGGACACACAATTCACAGTGATATGACTGAACGTTAAAACATGTAATAACCTTCAGTCCTCAAAACAGGCTTACGAAGCGATTACGTCTTGAAAATCAACAACTTCCGGCTACTTATGTTATGTCTTGTATGTGAAACTCAGACAGTAAAATGCTAAATTTTACCTACTGATCTGATTTTATCATAGACCAAAATGGAAGTCAAAATGTAGAAATAAATAAGATCACGTACGTAAGATCTATTCACTATCGGAGTATGGGATGATGAGTGGTGTCAAAGATTTGTTGAGAATATATTTTGGTATTAGCAAACTAACCTTGAAGCCCCTTTTGTTTGCCACCCCGATTGTTCTTTGATTTGCTGATTCGTTTCGTCGTCATCTTCATTCATGTCACTTTCATATCGGTTGCAGAAAATGTACCCTGCAAAGTAAAGAGTGACTGACTGTACTCCACATATTGGTCATCTATCCCTTGAATTCAATCGTCTCCATTTCCGCTGATCTCAAAAAGTAACCGTTCTTAAGAACAGATGCGTTATCGCATACGGTATTCGAGTTATGGTACTGTTTCTTTTACCCTGCTATTTTTCTTACCATATGTTTGACTGACACCATCACGAAAACCTCGACTATGACCTCGGAATAATACTTGTCCATTTAAGTAGGTGTGTACCTAAACCGAATGACACATAAAAGAGATGCAAGTAATGCTGCATACCTTATCATGGCCTTCTTCGCAGTTTACACCCACACGGACACTGGCTGTTCCAGACTTGGTGTACGTGACAGCTTACTCCTGTTATAATTCAATTCGAATATATGCATGTACATTGAATGGAAAGCTTGTGTAAAAAATGTTATTTAGTAGAGAATTGTTCCATTTGGGGATTTCCCTCGACTAACATCTGGTTTCTGAAATGAATATATTTTAGAAGAAAAATTCCTAGATTATCTTCATAAAAATTAAAATAGAAAATCTAGGGACGGTCTCTTTTTCAGAGACTAAACAAATCTAATGAGCCATAATTGCCTTGTATGTCGCAACATTGGTAAAGATTTTTATCACAGATAACTGACATGCTATTGATAGTATGTGTTACGCGGGTATATTTATTGATTAGTACAGACCCTGAAACTGCGGTGATCGTCTTGACACAGATTCAGGCTTGCATGGGCTGCGTTGGGTATATCTGTTTCATGGCCTGCACGATAGACTTGTCCATGAAGGGACGTTCTGCCAAAACACTTGTAAGCGTTAAACTGGATACGTTGTAAACTTAATGTTTTGAAGTTTGTTGAAAGAAATGAAGCAGCACACATACTAGTCATATCATTGGAAATCAATAAGGATGAATATATATATATATATATATATATATATATATATTCGAATGACATGAAAACTATACTGTACCGTATAATTTGAAGACATAATCAGTCAGCAATACTACCACAGAATCTTCATTGGTATCTCATAGGTGATACAGTTCATTCTTGAATTCGATAAACATTTATCCAACTGTGACGTTGTGTTCATTGGAAAGAAAAATAACACGCACAATGTCTGTGTGATCTGACTGTTCACCAAAGGTGCACATGTTCATGTATTTCTATATCTTTTTACAGGTACTGTCCGTGAATTATTACCATGGTGTTTGTTGTGTTCTGCATTAAGTATGTTATTCCATAGCTATACCTTTGTACAAGCACAAACTTGGCAAATATGTGCACTGTTAACAACTGTTGGTGTTTCAAAGTGGAACCAGTAGCCAGTTTGCTGTATCATGGAGGCACGGTTCACCGTTCTTGACGATCGTCCACACCTTCTATTATTTCCCAGTGAAGGGATGTGGTAGTGTGGCAGTCACATATATTTGTGTTACTGTCAAATAAACCATACATTGTACACCACTGTAATTAGTATTATTATTAATAGTGACATTAGTATTTGCGTTAGTATTAGTACTAGTTATTAGTATATAGTTAATATAGTATTGGTATTAGCATTAGTATTAGTTTTAGTTATTAGTTAGTAGCTATTGATATTAGTTAGCACTACGGGTGTGAAGGATTTTAATTAAGAGGTGATACTACACCTTAAATATTTTAACTTGGATATGCTTGGGTCAGTCACTTACCTATCACTTCCTTTTGTTTAAACCAGGGCAAATGTCCTGGTTGAGTGGCTGACCCTATTGTTCTTAGCTTGCATGCTTTTTAACCCTCACTTGCACCTCAGTCACTGGACAGAGAAGTCACCAACAGACTGCAGCAAGTTTACTCATTTCAGTTACTTCACTACTGTCAAGGTATGTTTGTTTAATTAAATACATAAACATATATGTGTATATCTTTTCATAAATAAGGTTATATAAACATTATGTTATGTATGCTAAATAAGGTAATTTGTACATTTGTGAGAGGTTTAGTAAATGGCAAAATCTCCTGGATAGGCAGGTATTTGAATGAGTATTTTGATTTATAAGTTTATGAAGCTTTTATCATGTATGTGTTGTGTATGTATGTGTATATATGATAGTATTAGGATGTTTGGTATTTTACTGTGTGCTATACCAGATCTGTAAATATGTGCTTACAGTAATTATGATTTGACGATAATATTTACGTGTGTAAGGATGTTGTGTAGGGAAGTTAGTTTTGAATTATTTCCACATTTGTAGGTATTTTCGGTGCCACTGTAGCCGTGACCATGTAGTTGTGGAAAACTGTAGTGTGACCTACACCTAGAGGCCATACTTCTGGTATGTTTGCATATTTTCATCACGTGAATATATACCATTATCTATTGATGACGTTTTACACACAGTAAGATGTGTGTATATTTCATATATTCTATATTTACTACTACATATCTGGACAACTGTAATTCAGGTTGTTGTATCTTACTTGTCAGCATTGTGTAGTCAGATGCTTGACTGTGTTGCAAGGCCACTAATATAACACAATGCAGTAATTCTATATTTACCGTCTTTATTAATGATGCATATGATGTACGTGTTACGGTGTTGTCCATACTTTTGTTTGCAAGCCAAATGAATTATGCTCTGATAATGTTTATTATCCTCATCATTGTTATTGTGTATTTCAAGGTGTAAAACAATGAACTAAACCCAGTCGTCGAACAAATCGAATCACACCCGTAGCCGTGTTGTCACCTTTATCAAGATGCACACTTAAAGCTGCTACAGTAGCACGCATGAATCTAGGCAACACATATCGCTGTACTCAGGTGTGTTGTTACATAACAAAATGACGCCCATAGCAACCATAGCTATTTTAAACACACTGAATAAAAACAAGTTCTGTTTGACTGGAGACTGGTTATGCAACATAGCTGTTGCAATGAATAGCTGAAAGTCGATACAGCTGATCAGCCATATTCGGGAATGTCAGAACCGTGTTATGGGAAACTTAGTTGTCATCTACACTCCGTTTGGCTCAAAAGCGGACCGATGAATTGCAATCTAACTCGAAAACTAATAAACATAACATACTCAATGAAACGCTGATCATAATCAAAACATCGTACCCACTCTGTGAGGTTTTTGCAGAATTTTTGTCCTAAAAATAATAAAGCTGTTTAACAAACTATCATTAAAATATTGACACAATTCACTGTTTGCTAGGAGGGAGGATTGCAGAGAGAAAGGGACAGCCAGGTGTTCGAGAAGCACGTTCACAGACAAAGTTATTTATTCATTAACCTGTGCTGTGCCGTCTCAATCCGTTCTCCAACACCTGCCTGTCCCTTTTTCTGCACTCCTCCCTCGTTACAAATGGTGAACTGTGTCAATATTTTAATGATAGATTGTTAAACAACTGTTTTATTTTTAGGACAAAAATTCTGTAAAACTCTCACAGAGTGGGTATGCTGTTTTGAATATGATCAGCGTTTCATTGAGTATTTTATGTGTATTAGTTTTCGAGTTAGATTGCAATTCATCAGTCCGCTTTTGAGCCAAACGGACTATAGTTGGGTTATATGAACATAAATGACCTAATATTCAACACAGCAATTCTATATAAAATGAATTGGTTGTGATGTTGCCAGTGTTACAGATTGTGAGGACATCTGAATTAATGTCATGTCGCCAATCGATTTACAGGAATGGTTTCCTTGTTTGCTCCATATCAATGTCACAATCATTGGATTTTCCGAATTGTGTATTTATAGATCCATGTAATCTCCCGTCTGTTCTGTGACGCAGCTAGTTTAGCTAGTGCTTAGGAAGCTTACTGGTAAAGGTCACCGGAAATACATCAGCAATCACGGCACACAGTCAAAATTAACATTAAAATAGAAGCGATAGAAGCGTTTCCACATTTATAAGAAATCTCTGCTAAAAACAGAGTCGCTTGTACAATTGTGACTACACCATAAGTAGATATTTGTTTCAGAAGCATTACAGTTGTATGAGGTGAGGTAAGGTGAAATTGGGTTTATCGACGCACTTAAGAATATTTTGCTCATATGACGACGTGCATGTGTGTGTATGTGTGGCTGCTTGTACTAGCCCAGACTGAAGCTGGTTTTATAGTGCTAGCTCACTGAGATACCATACCGCAGTTAAACATGAATACCACATGCTAACACATTATACTGACTCCGAGACGACCAGGGACCAACAAGTGCCATATTTTAACGTCTTTTGGTTAGACGCGGCGACCTTCGGCTCTCCGGGCTGACCGCTCTAACCACTACACCACGGAGGCGGTCTACAGCTGTAAGTAGTTTGTAAACAAATAGAGTCGGAACCAGACAATCCCGTGATTGTCGCCATGCGATAAAACAAACACACAAGTCTAAGTCTATATTCATTGGTTTTATATTGTTCTGTTTTATTAACGTCATGTAAATCTATGTATAATCTTCATTAATAGGCTCCCAGTTCTTTACAAACAAATGATGAAAAAGACATAAATGTTCATGTCAGTATGAATAATTTACGGACCGACTCAGCGCTACAACTATACAGAAGAGGTTAATTAAATGGCTTAGATTTATTCTGTTGACAACTGGTATGGAGGTAAATCTAAATAGTACTAACGTAATTGTTTTTAGGCATTCTGGTCGTTTAAGAAGTACTGCAAAATGATATTATGACTGACTGACTGAGTTTAGTTTTACGCCGCTTTTAGCAATATTCCAGCAATATCACGGCGGGGGACACCAGAATTGGGCTTCACACATTGTGCCCATGTGGGGAATCGAACCCGGGTCTTCGGCGTGACGAGCCAACGCTTTAACCACTAGGCTACCCCACCGCCCCTGGTATTATGAAGGCATGCAGTGAGACACTGTACCATTCTATGAGTATTGTGCTTTTGTGTCCACCCCTAGACTCTCTTGGAGCACGGCTCAACATTGTGTCATAGCGATTAATTTAGGACAAGCATCGTCCAAATATTTCTAAAGACCATAAATTATGTAGCCAAGCCATGTGGGACGTAATTGTGATTATCTATATGACGCTAATCTTCATCCTTAATCCGAATCACTACCGCAGTGTACATTGTCTTGTCAGACACTCAGTCACTTTCATTAATTACTGACACCAGTTGATGTGATAGCAGACACGGAAGTGCAATTGTTTCTGTACCTGTTCATTGTTACCTCTCTCTCTCTCTCTCTCTCTCTCTCTCTCTCTCTCTCTCTCTCTCTCTCTCTCTCTCTCTCTCTCTCTCTCTCTCTCTCTCTCTCTCTCTCTCTCTCTCTCTCTCTCTCTCTCTCTCTCTCTCTCTCTCTCTCTCTCTCTCGCTCTGTGTGTGTGACTGCCTGTGTAGGACGTCGCGATCGGAGAGGCAGGATAATACCGCTCGCATAAACTACCCTGAGAGTGAGCTGGATCTCCACTCACCTCCTTTATCTGAGCCTCATTGCTGTCTTGTGTATTTGTTTGTCATGTATTGTATAGCCAATTAAAAAAGTTTGGACACAACGTATGTCTTCGTCACGCTGGTCCAAATATTGAGCTAGTTCCCCTTTCCACACATATAGCCGTTGACAATTGTTTAACCTCTCAAGCAAACTAGGCTATGTTGTCTGTATATTCCTATGTCAGTATGATCGTTTGAATCCTAAATTCACCCTGACTGGTCCATACTCGTGTATTTCAACCAAGTGGAAAACATCTAAGACCTGTATCACTTTGAACTTTCTTTTCGCACGAATCTTGTCGGACACAATTTTCGCTCAAAGGGACTATAAACCCAACACGCATTCACAGTAACGTAATCACTGATTGATTCATAGTTTATGTACAGGTAGATACGTTCAGGAGAAAAACAAAAAAAAAGTTAAATTCTCTATTTTGTACTTTTTCCAGAAATTGTGCATTTCAATTTAATATCCAAATGTGACAAAGCAGCGACATGTTAATATCAGTTCAGAATACCTCAAAATGTACAGGCAGTGTTAAAGTTTTCGGAACTATTAACATTCTACGCTAATTAAAAAAAAACTAACAATGACATCAATCCATTTAAAGTACGTATATTCCCATGGCGCTACTGTGACTTTATCCATAAATAGGTTTGTGTAACTGGATTTTCCGTTTGTGGCTATCTTTTGAACCAACGCAGGATTCCTCATCTCAGTGTCAAGACCTTTTGTGAAGGGAAGCGGACCTGCGATAACAACAGCAAATGCATGAGTGAGTGAGTTTAGTTTTACGCCGCTTTTAGTGTTATTCCGGCAATATCAGGGAGGGGAACACCAGAAATGGGCTTCACACATTGTGCCCATGTGGGGAATCGAACCCCGGTCTTCGCTGTGACGAGCGGTCGCTTTAACCACTAGGCTACCCCATGACCAGCA